ATAAATTTATCAGGGATGCTCATCAGGATCTGGGCGAACGTCTGTTCACCAGAGCACCCAAAGGGATGACAAGATCGAACAGTCACAAATTCCGCTGCGACCGATTCAGGCTGGACATAAGAAAGAATTTCTTCACTGTCCGAGCCCCCAAGTTTTGGAATAGACTGCTGCTGGAGGTGGTTCAAGCGCCCACTTTGAACGCCTTCAAGACACATTTGGATGCGTATCTTGCTGGGATCCTATGATCCCTGCTGACTTCCTGTCCCTGGGGCAGGGGATTGGAGTCGATGATCCTCTGGGGTCCCTTCCAGCCCAAATGTCTATGAAATCTATGAAAAGTTATAGTTTCTGAACCAATAGTTCTACAGTTTTGCATTTCTTTTTGTCTCAGACCAATACGGCTACCAAATACACCCCTTCCCCGTTCATGCATTTACAATTCTCCAGTATATTCTAATATGCATACAAAGGGTTTACTTGTCAAGCAGGAAACTTATACACCTAGCAATCAGCTTTTCCTGCAAGCCTGTCAGCCAACAGCTGGCAGCAAGAGCCTTACTCTGTTCAGCAGAGGTAAAGAAACTGCTGGTAGAAGGGAGGATTCTGTTGCCACCAGATAACTTAAGTGCAGATGCTCTGTTCACAAAACTTTTGAGTCCCATTCTCAAAGCTTCTCCTGGTGGCAGAAATTCCTTTTGCCAAGCAGAATTTTGTACTGTGTGGTACAGTCTGCTTAGGCTACAGCACAGGCAAAGGAGATGAATGGCTGACGTAGATGCCAAGGACAACCATACTGCTTCAAGAACTTGGAATTACAATCAACCTTAAGGTGTTAATTGGCAGGCCTATGCCCAGCAATTCAGGACAGAAAAAAAAAAAGCCAGGCACGCTAAATTAATTGCAAGTGGACCATTTCATGTAGAAATTAGCAAAATTAGGCAAAGTGTGCCGGCCATTTTTCTGTTTACCAAACCCTTCAGATGTTCTTAGAATGTACAGGAGAAATACAAGTATAGTTTACAGTTTGTACCATTTGCACTTTATGAAGCAAGGGCACTTCTAGAGCCCCAACTCAATCATGAGCAAAGCAAGCAGGGTCTGGCAGAAGTACCTGAGCCCAAAGGCCCCCTGGTAATGCTCCCACTACCAGTCCATACAGTTAAGCAATGTGGCAGAGGTGTCACAAATTAGCCCCTCACATTCCACGTGCTGTTCTAATCCTCATCCCCTTCTCCTGTCCCATTTGCTGCTCTGTTTCCTGCTTACTGCTTTCTCCTTTGTGCTTTATCTGCCACTGTGCTGCCTGCCCCTTCCCTGACCTGCTGCAGGACAGAGACACAGACAGAGGTTGCCTGCGCCAGTTATGGTACACATACCATACACTGATCACCCCTGCTGTAAAGCCTTTGGCCACAGTTTTTGAGCAATGCCACTAGAATCTAGGAATTATGACAGAAACCACAGCAAGGACCTTTACATGCACATCATGCAGACTAATCAAAAGATTTATCAAGCAATCAGGAATTGTATGACCAGACAGGCTGGGGATTACATAAGAATCCAAAAAGCCAGGCTGAAACTGATGCTACGGCAAGCCCTCTCAGTGGCTAGTATGGTACTGCCGTGGAAAGTTTCTACACATGCTATATTACACTACAACTCCATGGCAAGATTTAAAATTCTTTTTTCCAAGTACCACCTGTCTTCCACCATGCTTGGCAAACCTGAAGCCCCTGTCTGTTTGTGATTGAGCCCCTTCTTTTAGCATTCTCAGAGTGACACCCATACCAGATGCTTAAAGCTCTAATTTTATTGCTCTTTGTTATTTAACACAATAACTTGCTACCCACTTCCCATATCCCAGTTTGAGCTGCTTCCTACTTGCTCCTCCATCCATGTACTAACTGCCTTCCTCAGCATCCTGGCTCTCAAGATGCTGACACCACGTGGGTCAACAATAGTCAAACAACCCTAACCAGATCTTGAATGAGGACTCTGCCAGCTTTTCAGATTTCTCCAGAACTGTGAGAAAAAAAAGACACTTTAAACACCTGAACAAACATCCTGATTTTTCAGAAGTGGTGTGAAGGAGTTCAGCACCTTTCAACAAGGCTTCTTATATACCAAAATATGCATTTAGAAACCTCATCATCAAAGAAACCCATATAAGAAAATAATGGCAAATGTTCATTAGGCAATGATTAAATGTTAGAAGGACTATAAAAGACTGAAATCAGGGTCTGGTCGATATATAAATAAGCAAGTATTTCTTAAACATTGTATAATACAAGTACATTTGCAGTTAAGTTTACTAGTATTATTTATTTATTTATTTATTTTTATGGAAAATGTAACACAGGGGGACTTGGTATTTTTTCAAACTCTCAAAAGGCAGGGGTAGGGCTGTGCAGGGCTCTTCTCAGTGGGGGTTGGGCTTGGAGGAGGTGCCAGGGGCGCTGGGAGGATGCTGCATCTACCCAAATTTTGCTGAAATGTGGTTTTCAACACTCTACTGTATTCTGTAAAGAGAGAATCCTGAATAGTGAAATCTTCCTACCTTTAGTAACTTTACTGCACAGATCAAATTATTGTCCACAGGATTAGAAAAAAGTGCATTTAGTAATTCCCGCAGGCCAACCTGAAGAATCTCAGCTCGTGTTACCTGTCCTTTTGTTCCCTTAATCTGCAAAAGATCATAAATAATTTTCTGAGAAAATAGATTAGAATACTTTCATAAATTTGTTCTCCAGATTTCCCTCTTCTATTCTGTAGATTGTTTTGTGATACATGAAGTAGATTGGCTTTACAGGTACAGGAGATACAGGTAATACTGTAAATAAAAGATTTTTAGAAGCTCCTGAAGTATTTTTCAGATAAAATTTGACATATACAGAATATGATAATATTATAAACTGATTTTATTAACACTTGTTTGGGAGGAGCTGTAAAATGTTTGATTCCATTATGAATGATGCATGTCATCCTAAGATCTTTGTAGTTAAAGTTACCTTCTAATACATAATTTTGTAATCTCTGCTCTCAGAAGGATCATGTTTTGGATACAAGTTTAGGCATGAAAAAACATCTACAACTATTGAATAAGGAAAACAGAAATATAAAAATTTACATGATTCAGGACATGAAGCAAAAATACTAACAGTCAAAAGTTAGGGAGGAATTTCTTCTAAAACAGTGGTACTCATCTTTTTTAAACTTAAGGCACCCCTTAGAAAATGCCAGCTCACTTCTACGTGTTTTTGACTACATAAAAATAAGAGCAATTCTTCCGTTGTAAAGAATTCAGAAAGACAAGAACAGGTCAGATTGGTTTTAGCACTACGGATTCTTATTTCAAAGCTCTGAGTTTATCTTGAGAAGCTCTTGGAAACCAAAAGTGTTCAAGCTTTTTCTCCCAGGGAAAAATGGCCACTCCAGGAGAAAAATAACCTGGGAATAACACAGTTAAATCACTCCTAGGAGAGTATCTCCTGGGACAGTGAATGTACATGCCATGGCTTCTCTCAGAAGAGAGCATAATCAGGGACCTACCAAAATTGCAATTTTGTGGACAACGTGAAACCAGCATTGCCTGCAAAAATCCATACAGAAAGAAAAAAAAAGAACTACTTACTGAAAATAAAATGCTGGCTCCCCAGCACTTTTGCCAATGGGTCCTGCCCAGAGGTGTTTGCCCCTCCAGCAGGGGAAGGGAGCAGGAGAGTCATTTGGGGGCAGTGGGGATCTGTGTGGCCAGGCCAGAAGTGCCAGAGGCCAATGCTGATGCTGTCAGGGGTAGGGTGACTGTGGCCAGGCCACTTGGCACAGCACAAGGACCCCAGCCAATGGCAGAGGGGTGCCACGGGATCTCTGGTGATGATGCAGAACTTCTTACCTCTAGGTTAAGATACAGTTCAGCTAAGAACAGCACAAATGCATGAAATTGTTTTCGAGTAACCTCATCTCCTTTTGCTGCTTGATCTCTGTTTTCATATTCCGTTTGACATCTAAAAAAAAGAAAAAAAACCCTTCAGTATCAAATTATTCTTCTCAGCAGGCATTCTAGAGTTGAAGAAAGATTTAACTGTTACATAAGACAATATTATGCAGAACTAATATACAAAATGTAGGAACCTACCAAATTCACAGCAGAAGTGGGGTGCAATGCGGTTCTTTTAACCTTGCAGGTTCCCCCGCATGCTCCTCCACTGCTAACTGGTGAAAGGGCCATGCTTGCAGCTCATTTTGATTGGTGGGGAAGCAAAAACTGCGGTTTTAAATATGGCGCCATTTTTGCCTCCTGCCACTGAGGGGCCCTGGTGGCCCCAATGCTTGTTACTGACCAGTGGGGAGGCAAAAACCACACCATATTTAAAACCATGGTTTTTGTTTCCCTGATAAATCGGGAGGGAGTGGTGCATCACCTCTGCCAATCAATGGCTGGGGAGGTGACACACGGGGGAACATGAAAGATTAAGGGAGCTATCGTGTTCTCTACTTCTGCTGTGAATTTGGTAGGTCCTTATCAATATGGATTAGAAAAAACAGAATGCAGGGTGTCAATAAAAGTACTGGTTTATGACAGAAAATAGAGAACTTTAAACATACTATTTTTCTGACATAAAAATTGAATCTATGATCCCCAAAAAAGGCAAAATATTTTAAGTGCAGAAAGAATGGAGACAAACAGCAGAGTGAAATAGCACATTACAGTATCTATACAATACATGACAGGTGGCATGTTACATATTGAAAAATAGGTCCATAGTGCAACTTGGATGTATACAAAAGTGGTTAGGTTTATTTCAATAATACTTTTATATCCTCCTGAACCACATTAGACATTTAACATATGTTGCGGTTCTATTTTTGGTTCATCACAACAATCTGACACAAACTGTAAAAAAGTTAAGATCCATAATCACACAAGCTACAAGTAATAGAAATTGCATAATTACAATAAGAAGGGATTATGGATCACTTTTTTCTAGAACTTTTAACTACCTGTATCAAACGGGATGTGTTACTGTGCATTTTAGTAGAATACAAATTTACAAGCATGTCAATAAGGAGAATTTCATAGACAGCCTCTTTTTCAATTGGCAAGCTTTACCACTGTTTACAAGATTGTTATAAAGCTGAGAAGTCTGAACATCTTTGAATACTACATTAGGACTAAAAGATGAAAGAGATGTGGTTGGTACCATAATTAATGTTATTTCTTTGAATTTTAATGATAGTGTTGAAGTAATGTTGTAGTTATGATGGTCTGTGGAATATGCAAGAGGCAAGGACTTTTTCTGGACCAATGGTATAGCTGGAAGAGTTTTTGGACAAGCTTTGGGACACCAAGCTAAGGAAGGCTACCCTACCTTAGGTCTTTATTTTTACTGTCAATATAAAATAGGAGATGAACACAAGCAGCCCTGACTTCAAGTTTTCTGTATGGAATAGTAAGTCAAATATTCTTAAATACAATCATACTTCTAATACGACACTTGAGAGCAGAGAACAAGTGCAATTCATTGACTAAATTCAGGACTGGGAATCATAAACGTTGCTTTATGGTCTTGGTCAAATAAACTACTCAAATTACATTTCCAAACCTGAGCTACTACAGCTTTTCTTTCAAACAAGGTGCCATAATTTATTCTCAAAAGTTAGACTCCACAGTCAAAACCATGCACCCAGAGTTCCTACAACATGATAAATGTAGAGGTATTTGGTATTAACTTTTATCCCCAAATAAAGAGGGGCTAAGAGGGAAATAACGGAGATTTTACCCTGAACAAACAAGGGTAAGAAATCCAGGACCTCAGGTGTCTACTCCTAGGCCAAGAAAAGCTACAGAGGGCTTCTGTAATTAATACATATTAAAAAACAACTTTCAAAAGCTGTACATCATTAATGAAGACACTATCTCCAGTTTCATTTGTTATAATAAAACAGAAAAAAAACAAGGACTAAAATTTAAACTGAACTTATTTTTTAACAAAGTTTACTATGTATGTAACAACTGAACTCCATCTCTCAATCACCGGTTCACTACTAGCTGGAATAAAAATCAGAATTCCATTATCTTCAGAGAAGTAAAATAATGAAAAAAATAAACATTCTGAAAACTAGTAAAATTGGCAAAATATAAAGTAAGAACTGTGTGAAAATTAAACAGATCATACTTTAAAGTTATTGTGAGACCGAAAAAACTATTATCTAGCGGCTGGCATCTTAATCATTAAATGTAAACTATCTTAATCTTTCTAAATACTATGCTTGCAAATAAATTGAGGTAGACTTTTTAATACTCAATACCACACAAAATGCCCTTGTTCAAAAAGGGGAAGTTTTACTAATCATAAGACCCTTTGCAAAATGCATTCAATCCATATAGTCATCAAATGCAATATAAAAGAAAACAATGTCCATGCAATTTCTAGTTTTTCTTCTTGGAGGGAAAAGGGTTAGGTATTCAGATTTGCCAAAGGGAAAAACACAGCATTGCTTTTTATTACCCAGTGGATTTCTCCTGACTGACACAATGATGAGAAGTTTTGAAGGTTATTTTACCTTTGCTACTAATTGTATTTGAACAATTTAAGGAGTCAATTTAAATTTATCCCTTAAGTTCATTAATAACCTCAAGCTTCACACAACACATTTCAAGAGATAGTCCATTTGAAAAATAATAATTTATGTCAATTAGAAACAAGTCATTATTACAAGTAACAAAAGATGTAGCAGGTCAGCTCCACATCCTGGACAGGCATGGCATTCCAGGACAGTGTCAGCTGCCATGGCCAGTCACCCCTGCAGCAACATATTTTTGTACCCTTTTCCCTTGCCCAGTTTCACTACTGCAAGTAACACCTAAGCATACTGTAATAACTTAAGGAAATTTAGGGGAAGCAAATTAATCTCTCCCCCCATTTCATAAGTTCACCCACTCATATAAAGCCTGCTTCAAAGTTTCCCCGGGGGGGGCGTCCAAAACATTTGGCCCCATGGACAGGATGAGTTGTGCAGGACTAGTCCACAGGCCAGAGCCAGAGTGCAGTGCTGTGTCATCTGGCCATGAGACTGGAAATTTGGTGGCCATATTTGGTGGCAGTATGAAAGCCATTGTTTGTCTTGTTGCCAAATTTCCTGTCCAAGAAGAGACAATATGGCTCTGTGGATCAGATCCACAGGTGGTATCTGTTAGCTTTATACCACTGCCCTATATTGTCAGTTGCTCAGCCTATACATGAAAATATTCTGTAAAAATTAAATATGGAAGAAAAAAACTAGCAAAAATTGGTAAGTATACTCAAAGTTAGTTAGAGTAAAGAACAACACTTTTTAAACTGACTAGATTTCAAACTGCCAGTGTAATGTATTGGAAACTATAATCTTTAAATATAGAATTACCTCAACAGAAGTCCAGATTCAAAAGAATGTGCCTTACTAACAGAACTCTGAAATGAGAATGCTTTTGTTATGAATTTAACTTCTCTTCTAACCTTATAGACATACTTTTCTACTTGTATACTCAAATATGAAAAAAGCTTTTCGAAATTAAAATGCAGTGTATTCAAATCCAGAATTTTTTTTAACTTCAACATTTCTGGAAATGTAAAATGAAGTGTTTGCTAATAATCAGCCGTATTGACATGCAAGAAGAATTCAGAAGCAATATGGTGCTACAGAAAAGAGTCTTCACTCTTGAATTTCAGGGGTAGGTTGAAAATAGCATCTTTCTTTTTATTCAGGGGAGGCCATCTCTACATGGAAAGTAATGGACACCTTTACAAAGGACTGGGGAGAATTTTACAGTCCTGAAGAAAGCTTTTCCAAAGTGTTCTAACCAACAGGTTATTCAACTGGCAGCCCAGGGGCTGCATGCAGCCCACAGGCTACTGCTCAGCTGCCACTCCCTTTCCTCATCCCCCCTCTATTGCCTCTTCCTGTGACAGCTGGGTTCTGCAGATGCCCTTCTCTCCTCCAACTTCTACTTCCTGCCACACTCCTGGGGGCTGAGGTGCCCAAGCTGTGCACCAGGGGCACCGTGTAGGGGGTGCACATGCATGACCTGAGAGTGCAGGTGCATCCCGTGTCAGACTGCACTCCCTGTGTAGCTGGTGGGCAGCAGGGCAAGGCTGGAGTACCAGTGCTCCCCCTGCAAGCACTGGTTGGGGAGCAGGGCTGTCAGCAAAAGCGGCTGCACTGCTTCCGGAAGTGGCCAGAGCTCCAGAAGCAGCGCGGCCACTTTTACGATGAGCTAGATTGACACCCCCGCAGCCAGCAGGACTGGCAACCAGGGGACCCCCCAACCTGGTCACTGACTGGTGTCAGGGGGAGGCATGTACTCCCACCCCCCCCAACTCAAGAGGCACTAGACACCCATGCTGTGCACGCAGCAGTGGGAGGGTCCGGATTGCCTGCATGGCAGGTGGGAAATGAACTGGGCTGCAAGCACAGCCAGAAGGCAAGTGAGCTGGGCTGCTTGTGCAGCTGGGGTGGGCTGCACACACACCGGGTGACTTCCAGGTCTGCAGCCTGTTGTCCCTGGAAGTTGGACAGCCCTGATCTTTTACTTCACTGACATTCTGTTTCAACACTGACAAGTTTGTAACTTCCACTTAAAATCTCAAAATCTCAACTTTATTTTCAAAGGAGTGAAACACACATTAAACACACTACAGTGAGAGTGAAAACAACAGAAAGTAAGCACATTTTTAAGCTTACTCACTTTACCAGTACAATTACAGATACTGACCTTTGAAGCAATAACTGCCGAAAGTTTCCACTTTGTGGATTTATGGTTAAATGATGAGACAGATAGTTGCACAACCTTGCTCCCATGTAGGAAAAATTGGGGACAGATGTTGCCTTCAAAATAAGTATAAAAACCATTCAGAAGAAAGGAGGTTAGCTTATTAAGCAATTAAACATTATATACTCTTTCATTTGGTAAATACTAATAAATGCCTAAAAAACTGGCTCTCTCATCGCTAATAGCAGAAAAAAACCACTACAACCATTCCCATCTGTATTATGAAGTCAGTTTTAACAAGGGATTACACCAAAGCTACTGCTAATTCAAAACCCAAGTTTTCCCACAAAATGAATTAATGACGACTGTCATTTTTATAGTCAAAAGTCTGAGGCTGTCCTCAGCCCCCCATCCTCACTGTAATCAATGCCCAGAATATCTGAAAGCCACTCTTAGCTGGCAGTATATTGTTCAAGGGAGAAAATTCCAAGCTGTGGTCTACAGACTATGTCATCATTTCCTTTTTCAATTACAAATTTGAATATAAAGGGTGCACAATAGTCTGAGAGAAATGGCAAGTGTTAGCAAAAGATGGCTGGTCTAAAAGTCAGGACACTTCTGGTTCTCAGTATACAGTTCAGAAACAATCTGAGAACCACTAAACTAGAAATAATGCTCATTTTTAGATTCAGTCACCTGCTCTCTAAAGAGCATGCATACATATGCACCATACATAACAGAGTTTATAGGCACAGAGAAAGAGACAAATTTTGGAATACCAGTGTAAAAACTTTCTAATGTTATCTGTATGAAGCAATAAGAAATTTAAAAACTAGAAATCTCTGAAGAATTAATCATTTCTGCTGAGAAAGGGTTATGGCAAGGGAATTCTATAAACTGCTGTTAGATTTTGAAGAATCGAGTAAATATGATACTCTTAAGATGACTTTTCCCCCGTTTGACACAGGGAGAAGCCCCCCCAATCAGGTACGATGGTGCTGTGGGGGGCAGGTGGCTGCTGTGGCTTGGGCTCCAGCCTCTACCCATGGTTAGGCCTCAACCCTCGCTGCCTCTACATGCTGTCATCTCCACCCTGAAGCCTCTTCCCCAACCCCCCATTTCCACACAGCCTGTGCAAGACAGAAGCCTTCCCCTGTGGCTCCACTCTTCCTGGTTCCTGAAAACCAGGGGAAAAGAAGTGTGAAGATGTTCAGTCTTGTAGGCATGATTTCCACCTGATTCTTATCAGGCTATTTTTCTCCCAGAGTGGCCTTTTTTGCTCCAGGAGAAGGTCTGAATGTCTGCACACTTCTGGTTTTTATAGGGAGAAAAGTAATTCTCCTGGTAAAACATTAATGTCTGTACATAGCCTTAGAAAGGCACGGTTTACTACAATATAGCAATTAACGGATGATGAACAGTAGGCAGGCGTATTGTGCGAAGCAGTAAGTATTTGCTTTGGATTTGGATTCAGCTGATTTGGAGGGACAGCAATTCAATTCGGCGATTTAAATCACTGTCCCAATTCAATTCGGCCAAATCAGATCTGAAGATTTGGTGCTGCTTTGGAGATTTGGCCATAGACTAAACAGGCAGCAGTCCTCACCATGCTGGACACAGCTGCCTCCAGCTGGCAAGTCTGTTGTGGTGGGCAGAGGGAAGGGGCTGGGACAACCTGCCCAGCCTGGGCTGCGGGGCGCAGGATGCAGGCGTGGCATGCTGCTGCTTGCTCAGCTGGGGCAGGGGGGGAGAAGGCATGATGCAGCTTGCTCTGGGTGGAAGGGAGCAAGCAGAAGTGGGGCTCTGCCCTGCTGCTGCTTGCCCAGCCGGGGCAGGGGTGCAGTGCAGGATGTGGGTGCAGCAGCACTGGCAGAAGGGGCTATACCTTGCTGCTGCTTACCCCATTCCACTTGGAGCGAGCCGCACCTGCATCACGCCCGCCCCCCAGGGTCCCAGCTGGGCAAGTGGCAGCAGGGAACAGCTCCCGCTCCCAGCGCTGCCATACCCACATCCCTCACCGAGGCCTGCGGCCCCTGCCTCCGGCCGAGCAGCCTGTCCCAGCCCCAATCCCTCCCTCACTGTGTGGGCATTGATCTGCACACCCTCTTCCCTCCCTCCTCCGCCCACCACAATAGACTTACCAGCTGGAGGTAGCTGTGTCCAGCATGGTGAGGACTGCTGTTTATTTAGTCTACGGCTGAATCTCCAAAGCGGCACTGAATCTTTTCCGAGTCAATTCAGAGACTTTCGATTCGATTCAGATTTGGAGATTCAGCCACGAAATCGGGCTAAATCTCCTCTGAATCAAATCAGCTACCCAAGTTTCGCACAGCCCTAATGCACAGATCTTTTGTTAATACTGTTTTATATAAACTCAAGTAGTTCATTTTACTTATTAGTCTTTAGGGCTGAATTCAGTCAGTAGTTGCTTCATTCTCTAAGCATGAGGTCCACCTTAAGAAGTATGTTGTGCTCAAGATACCAAAGATGTCATTACAAAAAAGAGAAATATACACATTGTCGTAGAGGACTCTTGGATTTGTACTTAAGATGAAAATAAATTAGAAAAATTAAAAGAAACCTGTTCATAAGTAGTCATGCAAAACTTGAGGTATACGGGTATTCAGCATACTAATTAAAACTCATTGACAAAGTAGTAACAATACCAAAAAAACCCCCCAACCCATGGAAATGCAGGAGAAAACAAAACATTTAAAAAATCTTCCTTAATCACTAACTGTTCTACATTTGACTGAGAAAGCAGGAATGAAGCCTTCACATGGAGGCTGTGAATCTCTCAGCATGACTGTGTTATATCCATATATAACAAACGTGCTTGAATTTTCCTGGAAAGCTGAGAAAAAGTAGGACTTTCATCAATATACGACATGCATTTATGCAAGAGAAGTAAAAATCAGAAAAAAAGATTTCAGAAGAACTTTATACGTTCTAGGCTAATGACAACTGCTGCAGTCTGAGTGGAATTGGATTTGTTCTAAGAGAACTAGAACTTTAAGACAAAATGGACTTGGCTTTGCTTGAATTTCTGTAATAGGAGCTGAAGAAAAAAAGTCATGTAGTTTGGTAGAACTGTAACCCTAACTCGAGTGAAATACAAAAATAATTTTAAATATGACTAGCTAGAAGACTGGAATTGAAATGTTATGTGCCTTAGCTTTCTATGCTGAATTGCAAGCTTTCCTGTCTGGGCACAATAAATGCCTTTTTTCATGCACCATTTTATTTTGGATTGTCAGCCCTTTTGATATCAGCCTTTGGGGAAGTTACAACAGCCCAAAAACAGACTAAAGCAAATAATTACATTAAAGGTTGGATGTAAAACAATTTTTACATGAAAATTTTACACAAAAATCTCTTTCTACATAGATTAGAAAAGTGGCTATACATATTACATCTAATAACAGCTTTGTTTTGCCCATTCTGCTGCTCTATTCATGGTGTTCCACGCATCCAAGTAGAAAACCAAAACTGATGATACTAACTATAACTATGGATAACAGATGTGTATGGCTGGATGAACCATGTACTGAAATAATTTCAGTCAGTTCTATATGAAGCCCTTTATAAAGGCTACGTTCCATGTGATTTACCAGCCATTCAGCCACCTCTACATACCTCAGATTAACTCAGGCAGACAAACCCAATTACACATTCCTGAAATGCTTTACTATTGCATATACATTTTTACTCAGCTTTAAAGAATTTGAGAACAATCACTATAGGAGAATATTGTAACAGATAACCAAAGTATCCATGGCAAGTGTTGCACAGAATGAAGCCATATGTGCAGGAACACAAAATATAAACCAGTGTAGTTTATTTGCTTAGCAAAAACAGATTATACTGCTTTTTTCAATGGCTCCCCAGTCAGAGACTGATTGAAGATCTATCTGTTTTCACAGTCTCTCATGGAATTGGACCCATCTTCTGAAAGTCTTGGTTTTACTTGAAACATGTTTTTCCAATATAAGTATATTCCAACTGAATAACTGAACTATGTCAGTATAGGAGCATATCCCAGATCAGAAGGGAAATAAAAGGATAGAGACAGGGATATTAACTGTCTCCATTTTGTTTGTGTTTTTTCTCCATTCCTTTCTTTTATATTATGAAGGACACCCTGAAAATTTGATCTTTCTGTAACTAATAAAGCAATGCTGGAGTTCACAGACAGCCTAAGACAGTAGTTCAGAAATGTGAACTGATGCCTTCATTATGAGGTATGCCAACCTGCATGCCACATAACAGGTTAAGTAAAAAAAAAAAGTTATTTCACTGCTCAAAATATTATGAAAAGTCTACTGTGACACCACATATTTTGGCGCCTTGAATGGGTAGGCTTGGAGAGATACAATTTCTTACTACTACTATCCCAAATCAGGAAGGAGACGAACAAGCCCAAGGGAACCTCCTGAAGGTCTGCCCAATCCTAGAGGATCCCATGAACAAACAGTTCAAAACAGTTGGTTTTGAGGAATTTTTAAAAGTTACTATTTTCTATCCAGTTTTGAATAAAATAATGCAAAAAGTTTTTAACATCCAGAATTGAATAGATAACATTCCTTAACATAACATTTTCAGGAAAAAAAAAACCATTCTAAATTAGGAATAGATTTTTAACAATGGTTAAGTTGCAAAGGGGAAAAATTAATGGCTTCGTTTTCCTGAAGTAAGTAGTGGGGGACAAACTCATTTCACAAAAATTTGGGAAAGAATTTCAAGAGGTAGGTTCATAAAAGCATGGAGAAATTTCACAGGAGCTGAGCCTAGTGTGGATCCCAAGTCATAACAGTTATCTGCAAACCTCATCTCTTTAGAATTTTGTAGGAAAGCCAAATCTCTTACACAAACACACACTAAAACTAATCAGACTATTTCTCCTGCGAGCTGGAAAAAAAAAAATGTATCGTTGATTTGAATTTTTAATTTGGGAGGCGCACAGTTACTATGATGATGGAAGCTATACGAGTACCTAGATAAACTAGTATCAATGAAATAAGTGACTATTTTCAACTGCTTCTTTTTGGCACAAGGAACCAACATCATACATTTATTATGCCTCCTGAATAATTTACAGAGTTCTTACCAGTTGATAACACTTTAAAATTATTACAATGTTTGATGACAAGATCTTAAGGGGAAATTAAATCATAATTACATAGCTACCAAAGGAATATATGAAGCCTTTCACCTGAGTACTTGAAGACTGTACAATTTTATGACAGAATACATCAAGTGCATAGTCACTGAGAAAACAAATATCTTCCCTGGAAGGGCAGGAAATGGAGGATAATCAGTAAGGGTGTGCAAAGCGGGCCCTATTCGATTCAGGTTCAGCCCGAATCAGGGAGAGCAATTCGATGAGTTGATTCAGATAACTGTCCCCGATTCAATTTGGCTAAATCTGAAGATTCAATGCTGATTCAGAGAATCAGTGATTCAGACAGTTTTAAATGTTTTTTCTACATACCCTCAGGGTACCAGGTGTGGCTTGTGAACACCGAGATGCTGGGGTGCACTGAGCGTCCCACAGGAGTGCAGGGGGGCCCTCTACATGCTTGGCGGCAAACCCAGAACTGGACCAGAAGTACTTGGGTTGGAAGGCAGACCCAGGAGGCACCAGTTGCTGAGCCACGGGGGCACGGGGGCCCCCCCGTGAGCTCCCTGGTGGACCCATTAGTGGACTGGAAGTGCTTTTGGTCCACTTCCAGGTCTGATGCCGAATGCACTGGGGAGCTTTGCACACCTCTGTGGGACACTCTATGCACCCCAGCATCGCAGTGTTCATGAGCCACCTGATGCCTAGAGGTATGTAGAAAAAACATTTAAAGCTGTGTCCATGTCTGAATCACCGAATCTTTCCAAATAGATTTGGAGGGTTCTGATTCGATTCGGAGCGATTAAAGGGTCCTCTGATTCAATCTGGATTCATGGATTTGGCCACCGAATCAAAATTGGGGACCGAAGCTTTGCACAGCCCTAATAATCAGTCAGCTAAATGTAGTGAACCTTCAGTTTAGTTACTAACCCAAACTATTAAACATGCACCCCCCAAGAAAAATTTAATAGAACCTCCCTGATAAAACTAGTCATTGTATTCCATGCTTACTGCTCATTTCTTGAACAGGTTCTTCCCTTTTGATTTATACATAGATTTTACTTCATCTTGGGATGTTCTAAAATATCTGTTATCCAAGATATCTAGCAGCAGGACATCAGGCTAACTCTGCATACTTTAAAAAAAAAAAGGCAGGTCTCTCATGGGGAAAATGTTTCCCTTATGAGCATCGTTAAGAATATTTTCTTTGGGAAGAGATGAAAAGAGTTAGAACTCAGCACTCAAGGGTTTCTGGTCTATTTGCTATAAAAATAAAGTAATTTGAAATACAGCTTATCCTACGTTAATAGCTATCACTTGGATTCCACCCTACGGTCCTAGTAACTCTTAAATGACAAAACAAAGAAACAGACCACTAGTAACTTTTGAGTCCCAGACAAAATACTTTACTACACCAAATTGCAAACTATAAGTAGAGAAATAAAAAGGAATGAATACAGCTAGAAAAAGGTGATTGAAATAAATTATAGGTTATCCTCTTTCTTGCAACCTGCAGTAAATAAGTACCCTATTCCCAGTCACTATTTTGCAGGACAAAACTAGTCTCTGTAAACCTCACCTCACAAAAAAATGGAACATAAACACACTGAATCTGTAGTTAAACCCTTGTTGTAAAACAGAATATACATACTACCTGTTGATAAATGAGTTCAACAAGTTCTTGCAATGCTTCATCTGTAGTAACCCAGCTATTCAGCGTGTCTGCAAATTGCTCTATTTCAGTTTCAAAACAGCCTGGTTGTTCCGTGAGGTGATTTAGGAAGTCCTGTACATATTCTGTCAGGGTTGGATAGGCATCACATCCATCTTCAAAAGAGGAATCCTAGAGCAACAGAGTGATATATTCTTGGTTAGCAACTATTAAGAAGTAGGCTCGAAAGAAAAAAGGACCAGTACCCAATTTCTAATAGTGATCAACCACCCCTGCACCCAAGTCTCAGCAGAAGGTACAAAACCATACAAAACGAGTCATTTTGTGATGATCTACCTTACATAAGAGATCTCATTTCTGTACTACTTGTGCATGCCCCTGCAGCTCTACAAAAATGGTCCATCTTTCTGCTTAACTTTTGTAGTGCTACAAAAAAGTTTGTAGTACTACAAGTGTAACGTCTGTCCACAGCCCCCTGAAGTAGCTTTGCTGCTAGTCAGGTCCTCCGAACTGGATGGACTGCAAGATACAGATTAGATTTAGAAGTCCACTAGTCCTCCAAAGATTAACACCCTCATCCACTAAAAAACACAACTGTTGTTTGAGAGTTTCTTAACCCTTGGAAAGAGAAATACAAGTGACAATGCAGAACTCATCTATGGAAAAGCTTAAAGTTGTCTCCAAAATGAGATATTCCTGAGTGACTGCAATGCTAAAGTAGGAAAGGTAGGGGTACAGAAATAAAACTAAATGGAACAAGGGTCTTCATGATAACACAAAGGACAATAGAGCGAGATTAATTTTGTCACATCTAAAGGAACCATTTGATGAGTATCATGTTTCTGCATGAGAGCTGTCAAACCTACCATTGGTATCCAGAGATGCTATCAGTATAGGAATGACCACGTATAGTTTATTCAATATACTACAGTAACATTCAGAATTTCAGAACTCTGAAGACAGCCACCTGCAGACCCCTCATCTGTAAGTCGTAAGATTTTTCTTTTTCATTTGATTCATTGTGGCAAAATGAGGAACAAGAATAGCACAATCTTGCAAGAATTCATTATATAAACTAGACAGTTGAGAAAAACGATTTGAGGATCCAAATGATACTGAAAGTTTGGGGAATGTTGTTATCAAGTGGAAGACTTTGAGTTACATTAAAAAGAGGTGCAGAAGAGAAAAGTGGGAATAACTCCAAGTTTAAAGAATAAAAGAACAGCTTGATGAAGATAGTAGGAAAGTAAGTGAGGATCAACATGCAGTAAAGATCATTTGCCTTCATGATTAGTCTCAATTTTAGGCATCTGATTAAACCAAAATGGAGGTCAGGAAGCTACTAAGACAAACCAAGAATAAAAACTGTGTTTTGGAGAAAAAGGACAGGCATTCTACAAGGGCACCAATGTATGGAGGAAAAAAAAGTATATTAACAACAACGACTGTCTGATAGAGGACAAAAATAGAAATCTTCCTGCTACGAAGAATGCAATTATAGGAAGTAGAGTACTTTAATGAGGTCCTTCATAATGCAATGGATAAAGGTGAACAAACAGTCATTTTCTAGACAACTAAGCAATTTGTGGAAGAACTGGATTGCGATGCAATTCAAGAAGCAATAAGAATGCACAGAAACAAAGCACCAGATATTGGTAACATTCCTGCTGAATTATTAAGAATGGATCGAGTGAGGTAAGACAGCCAAAGACTTTAGACATTTTTGTTGATTTGAAGATTTGAATAAAATTCGGAGTAATGTGATCACATGCCCAATTTTTAAAAAAGTAAGGGGAACAAAGCCATCTTCCGATAATCGCAATTCATAAAATCCTCCCTGATATTTTTATACAGACTTACCCCTTAAAAAGAGTAGACTGTGGTATAGTATCAGTATGGGTTCCAAAAATGGGTCCACTGTGGATCAAATATTTTCAGTTCTTCAACTACTGGAGAAAAGATGGCAATATGATCAGAATACATACACAGGGATTTTTTGAAGAAATTTTGAGAAAAAAAAACATATGATAGTATATCAGAAGATGGCCTCTGGGCCACAATGAAAGAAAGCAGATTCTTTGAAAAAATTATTAGAAAGGTAAAACAAGATGTGCTGTAGGTAATGTGAAGCAGAAGTAAAAAATGAAATCTCTATCCTATTTAATATAAATACAAGAGTACGGAAGGAAATGTACTCTTTTGGGTAGCACAGTTGTTGCAAAAATGTAAGAACTGAATTAATTTAAAAACTGCACCAATTTTGTGCTTAGGCTGATAACTTGGCTATCATACGAAAGGTACAAAGGAAGGTGTAAGACTTGAAGGAAGCAGCAAGAATGCAACTTAAAATCCAAAAAGATAAAACGAAATGCATAGCTGTCCAAGGATCATCTTGTCCATTTACAAGAGACAGCTAAGTCAATATCTACAGCCAATAACCCCAGGTACATTAGGACAATTTAAATATATAGGATAATTAAATTATTACCAACAGCTTGATGAGGGAAGGAATTAAGATATATGTAGAATGGAAATGCCTTTAACTGTTTCTCTGCAGAGAATTTTTAGATCCAAACTACTGAGAAAACTTCAGATATAAAAGACCATTGCTACTGGTTTACTGTTTTACAGGGATGCAAGGACTGGACACTGAATGAAAAGGAAGCAAGACAACTAAATACCGTTGCAAATAAAGTTAAGACAAACTTAGGTTTCATTAAAGGAGAGTGATAAGGAGAGAAGAGGATCTAATAAAGAATTAGACAGGAGATCTATGAATAACTGAGTAAAGGTCGTGAAATCTCAATTTTAGTGGGCAAAACATGAAGTCTGGATGATGAAAAACAGATGAGCCAAGTGTTTCTTGGGAAGCCATTCCTATGGGGGCTGACCTTGGGGACACCAAGAAGATGGAAAAATAATACTGAGCAGCCCTGAGGGCTCTTGATATTTATTAGCAAAAGGAAAAATATACCTTTGGGGGACAGAGGAGGCGGCAAGTTGTTGTTTGCAATTATGAACACCTACAGTCCAGAGATAACGGGTAAGAATTAGCAAATCTTCACACAGCTTGCTAGCTATTATACGTTTATACTAGGAAGCCTCAAAGTCTTTAAAATAGTTCAGGAAAATATAATGTAGTAATCATATAAAAGATTAAGTAATCTACAATAAAATACAGCAACTGCAGCTCCTGCTATGGAGTTAGAACAGATAACAGTTCAAGAAGCATCCATGAAACCTGATTCCACAATAAAAGCAGCAGTTAAGGATCAGGAAGAGCAGCTACAGGGACCTATCACCATCATTCTCATTTGACAGAGAAGAAAGACTTAAAAGTGGGAGGAGCAGAATGTGGGCTGGGTCCCATTTAACCGAGACATCTCTCTGAACCTGTACTTCACCCCTGTAGTTTACAGGCTGTGCTCTCTACCACATACATGGTAAGAGCCCCACTAATACTCTAGCTTCAAGGTAATTATATCCAAAGGCAGACCAAACTAGTGAGGAAAAAATGTGTAATAAAATTAAATATATTGCTAAAAGCAGCATCTGACTACTTTAATAATAGGATCTGATAAACAAAGGACCAATTTGAATCTAGCCCTTAAATCATACAACTGAGGCCAATATTAATCTCTCTCTCATGTACAACTTCTCATCAATAAGATTTCAAGGTGCTTTAAAGAGGAGTTATATATCATCATGCTTAGTACCTCAGGTAAAGGAAGTTCTCTGTTAGCCACAAACTCTATAAAGATCCTGATTATTTTTAAGTGGCAACAAATTAACAGATGACAGCATCACATTCACTTAGCGAATGATGGAACTGGGTGGGGGGGGAAAATCAGTAAACAAGTTTTCATTAACTTCAGTAGACCTGGATCAGGTCCATAGTGCCCATTTCTCCTTCAAATAAAGTTGATGGCAGCAAAACCTGACTTCAAATGATCCACAAGTTAGTAATTTGCTTAATTACAATCTATTCTTCTCCCAACCATAGCCAGCTGGATTTTTAAGGAATTTATGATCTGGAAATGCTGAAAAAATAGTACAGGCAACCCCTGCTTAATGCTGTTTCACTTGGTGCTATTTTGCTATAAGGCTAATTTGAAATTGATACCGGATTTCACTTAGCACTCAGCAAGTTTTGTTATAATGCTTGCAGCTGCCATCTTGGGTCATTAAAAACAACCGCAGTCACCATCTTGGGTCATCAAATACTTTTGGTTTTGCTTAACGCTCATTT